CACTTTAGAGAGGTCTTGTGCAACAGATTTACCCAAGGCAATACATCTTTTGATCTCTTGACTATTGCTTCCGTGAACACTCATTGTGGATCCAAGCAAGGCAAAACCTTGGCACCTTCAACCTTTTCTCCATGGATCATGATGCTACCTACTGGTCCAGTTGTGAGGATTTTGATCTTCTTGACAATGGGTTGTAATCCATCTTGAAGGTCATAGCAAGTGACCTTGATCTCCATCAGCAAGTGCTTCAAGTCCTCCTCCCTTTCAGCCAGCACAGTGGTGTCAACAGCACACGGCAGGTGGTTAATAAGCCTGCCTCCATTCCGAGGCCCTACATAGACTCCGTATCTGTTCTGCACACACTCCAGCTTCGCTGGCAATTTGTTCAGCATTTAGATTGAACAGGTGTGGCGAGAGAGGACATTCTCCCTGATTTGAAACCATCCACCATTCTCTTGTTCTGTTCACACCTCTCGACTCAGGTACAAGTTCCGAATGAGCACAACGAAGCGTTCTGGAATTCCCACTTTTCTCAAGGCGATTCTCAGTTTCATATTTTATGAAACGCAAATTAATATCTTTCTGGTATTCTCTGCTTTGAGCCAAGATCTATCTGGCATCAGCAATGATATCGCTTGTTCCACATCATCTTCTGAACATCTGGCATCTCCCTGTCAATGCACCGCTGCGACCTGTAACCACTATGCCACCCAAAAAATCCCCAAACTCATGGAGTCGATTCCAAGTCAGAGCGGCACTACAGGACAGGGTACAACAGCCCCTGTGGGTTTCTGGGGCCGTATCTCGTTATAGGAGCAGAAAGCCTGGTCCTTCCCCCTGCTAGTCATGTCAAACTTAGGGTTCGCAGCCAGCGCTTCTCAGCATGCCAAGCCTGGCCTCCGAGGAGGACTGACGAGGAGCCCTGATGGATTCCAGGAGCGTGGCCGGTGCAGGCTGAGAGCAGACTGACTACGTTACGGTGCCATCACTGACGGGGAGTTGGCTGCACCCCACCTTCCACAACCACTCTGTCATTTGCCAAAGTGACAGCCCGTGTCCTGAAAGTGCGCTGAGCCACGCTGCTCGGGCACACTGCTCAATCCACCGGGTCTGAACCAGCCATTTCTGAGAGGAGCGAGCTCCACGCCTCCTCCCCAAGCCTGGTGGGTTCTGGAGGCATCAAACAAACACGTGCAGCAGGAGTCTTGGTGGCACTGTGGGCTAAGCAATGGGCCCTTAACCCAAAAGTCCATGGTTCCGACCCACCAGGTGGGAGAAGATCAGGCTGTCTGCTTTGGTAAAGATATCCCACGGGAAACTGGGGCACCGTTCTAGTCTGACCCACAAGGTCTTGAGGGGTTGGAATCAGCTCCCCAGCAGGGGGCTCAGGTTTGGGACCACAGATAGTCAGAAAGGGGGCGCCTCTGAGCCCATTCTCTCTAGGGGGCCCACAGTGCATGCTCTCTCCGTGGCAGTGGGCAAATGCGCTGTGGGCCATGGTGCTCAAAAACGTTTCTTGT